GGGGGGGAGGGGAGGGGGAACAAGATAAATTTCCTTCTTCTTCCCACGATAAATAATTAACATTTCATTTTAGCAACTTCTGTTAAACAATAATTAATAAAGAGTATTTATAATAAAACATTTTCCTGTTTGTGTTTTGGTCGTTCTTTTATCAGCAGTTTTATATTAATATGATATTAGTTGCTAGCGGATATAAAGGAGTAGTAAGTGGCGCTGCTCTCGCGTTGAAGATTCTTGTATGATTCGTTCGGTGGTATTGGTCTAGGCTGTTCTGGAAAAAAAAGAGGCTATTAACCCTGCGTAGGATGACTGCTGTCGTAAAAATTTCGAATTCTGTTGTTGCTGGTACTGTGTCGCTTTTACTATCCAGTAGCTTCGCGCCGCACAAATGTGTGAAAATTTGTTTTATTTTCAAAACCAGGTTCAACGAATGTTCTTTGCTATCAATTCACTTCTAGACAACAATAAAACTTCCAAATGCCGCACTACGACGGCTCAATGATTCTGTAATAACAAAGCAATAACCTCAAATTTGGGTCATTAAACCATCACTAAACTATCAACGAAGTAAATAGTGTCACCTTATTATAATTAACGATTGCTTTTACATAGTAATGAATAGCGATGCGCACCAGGGCCCTCCAAGGTTTCAAATCAGTGCGTTTTGCGCAGTTCCGTCCAGCAAACCCCTGCCTGCTTAAGGATTTTCACTGCTTTGCACTTTGGTCTGCGCAAAATGATTCCTAAGTTACGGAATTTGCTAGAAATATTTCAAGCTCTGGTGCGTCAAAGCTGAATTTGAAACCTTGGAGGGTGAATATCCTTTTAAAATTTCAGCCTCCAAATTTTTTGATTTTCGAATGACTTTTGCGAAAAAACTCTCATGTGGTCGTTCGTGAGACCTCGGCATATTTAAGAACTGGATTTGAGTTGATGAAGCCCGTACTTAAGCAGAAAAAATCCCCCTGGAATTTTCAGCCCCTTAACTCTTCTGGTTTCCGAGATAATGGTTTTTCCTGCCAAAATTTTCACGAAGACGTTGAAACCTAGAAGTATGTGAAAGCTGAATTCGAATCTGTGGTTCGTATGTGGGCAGGGGGCGCTACCTTGAAATTTTAGCTTTTTAGCTTTTGCAATTCACAAGATAATAATATCTCTGCCAAAAATTCCATGGGGCAGTACGTGATGCCTAGAGGTACATGAGGGCTGAATCTGAATTTGCTGGGTCGTACGTGGTAAAAGACACCGATCTAAAATTTTCCCAATTTTCGCAATACCCAAGATAAAAATTTTCCCCGTCGAAAGTTCCACGAGGCCACACTTGGTACCCGAGTGCGCGGGAAGGCTGAGTTTAAGATTGTAGAATTGTATGTGAGTAAGGGTTCATTACCATAATATTTCAGCTTCTTGGCTTTATGAAAATTTCACAAAGCGTAAATGCTACTTACGGGCGCGAGAAGGCTGAATTTAAATTTGTGGGATCACACACTGGGTAGCGGGGGGGGGACATTTTCCTAAATTTTCAGCCAGCTAGCTTTTGTTTTTTCCGGCCTCTTAACTTTTGTGGTGCCTGAGTTGAAGCTGCGACAAGATGCAGCCGACGCACACAGACACAAACAGACAAACCCGTGACAATTGCGTTTTGTGCAGCTGTTGTACAGCACAAAACACATAAAAAAGGTATTTTCTTGCGGGAGAAAAAATAATATCCGGTAATAGAACTATCATGACTTCGTCAGCAGAGCCTTTTGAACAATGAGCTGTTTTAATTTTAATTTTTCGGAATACACCTCGTAACACATCGGCCAATTCCGTCGCGCAATTGAAATGATTACCACTCGGGCTGCTTCATAGTGCTCCCGCCAATCAGAGGGCATGAACCTTGAAGGGACTAGATAATTAACAGTTAAAGAAAAAGCAAAAGTTTTTGCAGAACCATTTTCCAAAATTGTTAATAGCGGTGCCATCTCTGTTCGGAAGATATTCTGGATAACGCAATATGCAGTTTCTCCCAATTTACACTGAAAACAGATAAAGAAGAGTAATGGTCTGAAATAATGGAAAAATAGTCGCTATTACATTCAGCAAAACAAGCTTTCGACACAGAAATTTTGCAAAGACAATGCGATTTTCAGTTAGGATCTTCCGGATTATCGCATTTTGCTACAGTATTTGTATAAGGCGTGCGTTTGTAACCAGGCTTAGGATAGTTGTTGCTGGAAGGTGGCTTAAAGACTGAAGAGATTGATTTTTGACGTCGTTTAATTTTTCACATTTTCCAGATCAGGCGAAATCATGCTGCTGAAATTCAGGCATTTTCTCCAGCTACGTGCAATAGTAGAAAACTTGGAAAAATTATCTTGACGGTGAGACTTCATGAACAAATACAGAATACCGTATTTTTTTTTCTAACCACTACTTATACGCTTTTGCTGTGCAGCGCTATAGCAATTACAACTCGCAGTAGAACTGCTTCTACAATGACTGTTAGAAATTACTGGGAACGCGCATCTGGCAGTCCCGTGCGATAATGCGTTTTTGCAATATTTCGTGCTGTAATGAGGCCGCTCGAAAGCGCACTAGTTAGAAATCTGTGATATACTGGTCCTCAAAGTCCAGCAATTTAATTGTATTTGGACAGAGAACGTTGAAATTTCGGCTTTCCAAATATTCTGGCTCTTGAGTTAGCAATTTCCCTGCCAAAAAATTTCACGGGGCTGTACGTGATAACAATCCACGCCCGAAGGCTGATTTTGATAACTGCAAGTTGTACTTGGGCTAGGAACATTCCCTGAAAATTTCTGCTTCCCAGCTCCCCCAGTTCCGGGTTAGCCATCTCCGCGCCAAAAAATTTCATAAGGCCGTACTTGAAAACGACGCACGCCCAGTAGCTGAATTTGATAAGTTTAAGCTGAAGATGTGTTAGGAGTATTCTCTGAAAATTTCAGCCTTCCAGCTTTCCTGGTTCCCGAGTTAGCCATTTTCCCAACAAAAACTTTCACGAGACCGTACGTGAGGACCACACACAATTAGGGGCTGAGTTTGATAATTTTAAGTTGTACTTGTGCTGGGGACATTCCCTGGAAATTTCACATCCCAGTTTTCCTGGTCCCTAAGTTAGCGACTTTCGCACCAGGAACCTTCACGGGGCTACACACGGGAACTACGCACAACTGGGGGCTGAATTTAAATCTTCGAATTCTGTGTAGACGGGGGACAAAACCTCAAAGTTTCAGCTTTCTGGTTTTTCTAGTTCTCGAGCTAGAGGTTTTCCCGCCAAAACTTCCACCCTTTCGCACGCGGGGCCCAGACTTGCATTAGGGTTGATACCAAGGTCCTGGGGTGGCACTTGGCGAGAAACCCATTGACAAAATTTTGGCGCCGAAGCTTGCTTGATTGCTGAGTTGAAATACTCAGACAGATGCGCGCGCGCATACAACGGGGTCGTCGCAGCATGTGTTTTCGCACTTGCATATATGCAAGAACGCATAAAAATGTATATTGTCGAGAAGTTGTCTGTGTATATATTCGGAAGCGAGGGAATTTTGTCACACATTCTCATCTCAGCAACCAGAAAAGCTGGGAGGCCGAAATTTTGGGTATATGTTCCTACCCCGCGCATTATCCTCCCGTTCTAAGATCTTCCCCTACACGCACCTAGACCGCGCGTACGGACCCCCGAAAGAAAATATGCAATTTTCTATGGCGAAAAAGATTTCGCGAACCAGGCAAGGTACAAAGCTGAAACTTTGCGGGGATATTCTAATATTTTCTGTGCACGTGTGAGCTAAAGGTTTCAAACTCAGCTATCGCACATGTTTGCGCAACGCTTACGATCACGTCAAAGTTTGCAACTTGGCACTGCACTAACTTGAAGACTTGCCAAAAAACAGCAGCTGCAATTTTACCAGCATGTTTATCGCCCATACGGAAAGTCGCATACCTAAAATGAATACCGATTTGCAGTTGCGCCACGACTGAAGGCACTTCAAAGATATTTTGTAGTGAGGTGACTATTTTGCTTACCGGATAAGTTGCGAGGATGAAACTTTGTTGGGATATTCTACTTTTAAGTGCGGTCTTAATTTTGCTTGGAAGTGAAATTCTCTTCAGGTGATTGCGAATAATACCCAACTTTACCGGAAAACGAGGAACAAGTGCGTTTTGCACCGTACGACCCCCTCATCCAAATATGCAAATAAACATTCATTTCATTTGCACACTTGGATTTTTTTTAACAGCGACCGCCGCAGCAACATTTCTACTTTTAGTAAAGAACATTTTCAAAAGATTTGCATTTTTCATTTTTTCAAAAAGAGAGCATTTACCGAATAAAAGCAACTGGGCTTCATGCAAAAAACTGATAATCCTGTACCTGGGAGTCCATGCGACTCTATAATGCAACACCTTCATCCCAACCGGGGTCCTTTCTCCTGCCTGTCGGAAGAGGCCAAAGGACAGCCAGTGTGAGCCCAAGTATTAGGCTATAGCGTAGAGATCGTTCCTGCCATTAGCGACCTTCAAGTTTAGTGCAAAAACACATGATCGTACCGGTAAGCCTGGTGCGTTCCAGACTGCGTTTTATTTGGTCTGTTTCTGCTGCTATCGTGTGCTGATATGCGTTTTTAAATTAATTAAGACGCAGTGAAAACTAGGTGACCTGGATCCAACTTTTAACTCTCACTGTGTCCTTAGTTCCATTTGCAAATCCAAGCAGGTATTTGAGTTTGAACTTATCCCTACAGTGCAGGATGAGTAGTTGGAAGTGAGCTCTCGAGTTTTAGTCTGTCACAATTTAAGACCGTGCACTGATGTTGTCTACCAAACCAATTATATTATGGGAGGCCGTAGTATTGAAAAAATTTATTTTTGGGTGTAGTGGCTCAACTGGTTACTACGTGTCCAGCACTGTTTCAAGTTTAATCAAGGACTTCTTCACTGCTTTTGACTCACTATTATCTTGAAAGCCATCTTAACAAAGCTATAGGCTGGAGCGCACCAGGCTTGCCGATACGATTATGCATTTTCGCATTAAACTTGAAGCAGTCAGATCGTTATCTATAGCAGTGATTGTTACTTTATTCAGTTTGTATATTCATTAGCGCAAATCACCGTAAATTGTGAATAAAAGAAAAGGAGAAATTTCTGTTAAACGGTCATCCATTAAAAACGACCAGGGTGTTCAATGAGCAGCTTTCCCGACAAAACTTTTATGTGAGAACCACGTATATCTTGGAGATGAATTTGAAAACTTTCAGTTGTACCTGGACAGGGAACATCCCCCTAAAATTTCTGCTTTCAGCTTTTCTAGTTCCCAAATTGGCGGTTTTCCTGTCAAAAGTTTCACGTGTCAGCATGCAGGGCTCAGACGTGCCTGAAGGTTGGAGTCCTAGGGAGGAACTTGGCCAGGAAACCCACAGGCAAAATTTCAGTGCCGAACTTGCATGATTGGCGAGCTAAAATGTCGAACAGGCACACACACACACACACACACACACACGCACACACACGCACACGCATACATCCACCAAGACACGCACAAACACTCACACACACACACACACACGCACACTGTGGGTCGCCACAAACTGACAGCAAGCACTTCGAAACCAGGAAACGTAGCTAGCTGCACGAACACAAAGCTGTGCCTCAGCACTTTTCAGGTACTTCAGATGGTGCTGTGGATCTTTGATGCTTTTTGTGGTGTAATAGCTGATAGTTGGGAGAGTTCAGATAATGAATATTGCAGGCAATAACTGGTGATGTAGCGGAATCAAAACGAAGCGTCACAGAAGCCGCTGAACTGGCATATCATGGAATTAAGTTTGACGTAATTTGCGCACAGGGCAATTTCAGTTATACTGTTCATACGCGGCGGTATTGCGAAGCAACCAAGGACAACATCACTTGCTTTGCATTCCGATAAAATGTTGCGCTGGTGTACCGAGAGGAGCCAAACTCTTTGGTTTGGTGGAGCACGCATGTCGCTGGTTAAGAAAAATAAATTTGAGAATTTTCGCCGATTAGAGCAAAACAATTTGCCAGTGGATACAAAAGTTGTTTAGATTAAGAATTGTGCCAGAGAAGTACAACACTTAACCGCAAGATTACAGATTTTCATTAAATTTTTGCAAAATCCGGCTAAAAAAAGCAAAATTTGGCTAGAAGAACCAAAAAAGCTATATAAGCAGTATCGCAGGAAGAATTAAATAGGTCTAAAAAACTGAAGCGTTAAAGAAAAGCTATTTTTACTGTATCTACTTTTTAAGGCGCTTTCATTGTGTGGGCCTTATCAATTTCGGGCTACATCCTCAAACTTCAGATTGCTTCATTGTACGACTTCATAATCAGCCTACCTTTTCATTACGGCGCGTTTTCTTGGCATTCACACATCTGGCAACCTCTGTGTAGCTGCAGCGATCCTGACTGCGTCACTTACTGATGATCCAGATGTCCGCTTCACTGTCTCATCCTGATCGCGTGTCCCACGCTGGATGTCTTCTGAGCTGCTAGCAATATTTTTAATGCTCGCAGTGCCAATCCTTTATAGGAAGATCTCTGTCAAGAGTTATACATTACTTATTCCAGAAGGTCCAGAACTCTTGCTGTCTGAATGTCTTTTCATCCAGCTTTACATTTATTATCGAATCTGTGTTGTAAATGAAACAAGTGAAGATGTTGTGCAGTATTTTCCATTTAGAGAAATCGTGTGTGTTCGCAGAAAATAAAATGCTCAGCTTAGTGAATGCTTTAGTGTCTCACACTCCTCCATTCAGAAGAAGACTCTCCAGCCGAGACATGTATGGTAGCAACGAATTAGAAGAAGACAACTATGCGAAACTGACAAAATTCGTGGAATTTTAAGACGATGAGCGGGGTATGTCGAAAAAATATCGAAAAACCACACGCAAGTGATCCGGAGAATACTCCCGTTTATTTTAGTTCAGTCACTACGCAAAGACCGGATCTGTTAATGAAGAGGAAGCAAGATTTCGGAGCAGATTAGAAAAGGGTAACGAGGATACACGTGAGGGGCTCGAGGCAAGAACTGAAGACAAGAGCAAAAAGGGCAACCCAGCACTACAAAGAAAAGTAAATTAAAGCAAATCCGAGCTTATGAATAAAAGCAAAAAAAGAGAATTTAAAAAAACGTGAACCTAGAGATAAAAGCAAATAAAGCGAGAAAACTGAGCCTACGCTAGTGAAAACTGTACTATAAAAGCCCGTTGTCAGTAAGGGACTTCCCCATTTATGAAATGATGCTTAGGTAAAGCTGAGAACAAATAAGGTTATGCTGCGTAGGTAAAGCTAAGAGCTCCCAGCTTTACCTAAGCATTAGCTTCATAAGTAAGGAGGCCTACTACCGCGGACGGGTTTTTGTGAGGATTTCCACTCGCATAAGCTCCACCTTTTTTTGCTTTTGCTTCCTTTAGCTTTTACTCATAGGTTTCGGTTCTGTGATTCCGATTTTTTTTCATTTTTTTTTCCGCAAATTTGGCTTTTCTTTACTTTCCTTTGTACTGCGTTGTCTCTTTTTCTTCACTGCTCTGTCTCTAGTTCTTGCCTCGAATTCCTGACTAGTACCCTTGTCCCCCTCCTCTATCCTGCCCCCAAATTCTGCCTCTACAGCGGCATCTAAGCACCCCTTCACCCTTCAGCCACTGTAAATGGTACCGCTTGGCACTTTGCCAACGAGTGCTGGCTAGCGTTGTTCAACGCTCGGTAGCTGGGTTGCTTGATTAGCGGGTGGTAAGTGGAGAGATTGGGCGTAGTGGGACATGGTGGGGGGTAATGAGTGTACAGATGCCGCTCTGGAGACAAGAACTGGGGATAGGATAGAGAAAAGGAACAGAGATACTGGTCAGGAGTTCGAGGCGAGAAATACAGACAACAGTACAGAGGAAAATACAGCATTAACCCAGGCTGGAGCGCACCGGGCGGGCCCGTGCCATCATGCGTTTTTGCACCAGACTTGAAGTACTCAGTTTATTAACTGCATGGATGGCTTTGCTTTACACCTACCTTTTGCGGCCACTAGCAAAAATCACCATAAATTTTGCAAAGTAAATGTACAATTTCGGCAACTACTAAAACTCGGCTCGGCTCGGCACGGTTCGGCTCGGCTCGGCTCGGCCGGCGCGTTTTGCGCCCCAGTGAGGCGTCTGCCATCTCTGGC